CTGTCCTACCCCAGCCGTGTCGGCAGGGCGGTCCAGGCATTGCGCTTGAGGCTTCCTCATCATGTATCATGGTTTGTAGGCTTGTTTTCTGCATTTGCTTGTCAGGACGGAGGGCGGCTGGTTGTCAGACTGTGGTCCCCGCTCCAGCGCCGCCACACTTGTCTCAAACATGTGCACCAGCTTCAAGGACAGAGGGCGTTTTTGTCAAACCCTGAGTCTCGCCATGGCGCCGCTCACCCCCGTCTCAACAGTTTACAGCAGCTTTGAGGACAGAGGGTGGTTCCTTTTACGCATGTGGCTCTCGTTTTAGCGCCGTGCGCATTCTTCCTGAATGTGTGCAGTCGGTCAATTCACGGTTGAAGCTCCTGGAATGGTGATTTGGCACGATGTAGGATCGTCAGGGCTAAACAGCTACGTTGATACGCTGTTTCGAATTCCCAGACATGGCGTTTTGGCGCGATTTAGGACTTCAGGACGCAACGATCACGTTGATTGGCGTCGCTGAAGTCCCATGAATTGCGAGTTGGTGCGGTTGCGGGTTTTCTGGCGGTTGTTGTTCAACGGGACATTTCTTGGAATGGACACACGTTAGTAGGGACCAATGAAGAGTGAACTTGGAAGGAGGGTTTATGGCAATAGCGTTGTTGCGTCTTGGAATTTCTCTGGTGCTCCTCCTCTTCCTCCTCCTCCTCTCCTGTTCCTCCTCGCTGCATCCGCTCTCCCTCCTTCCCTCCCACCTCTTTCTATTCCATCACCTCCTCCTCTTCCTCTTCCTCCTTCTCCTCATCTTTACCTTGCACCTCTTTCTCCTTCTTCTCCTCCTCCTCCTCCTCCTCCTCCTCTGAAGGCGACCCAAGCCCCTCCCACACCCATTAAATCAACACCCGCATTTTTGAATGGAAAATTGCCTCGCACGCAGTTGCATGTGAAGTTGCTCAAATCGCACCATCGCGCACGTGCAACGGCGCAATTGCATAAAAGCAACAACGCGTCTACAAAACACGCAACAGCTGTGTTGGAACAAACGAAGAACGCCTTCTAAGACGACATGAAAACCGGAAACGTCACGACTCGCAATTGTCGCCGTGGGGGCGTGTCGACTAAGCCCACAAGCACTCTGGAACAACAATGTAAGCATTATCCTTGTGGGTATGGGGGTGGGTTCTTCTCTCGATCCTCACGCTTTGTGTTCCGTATGCCCCGTTCGGGCCTTCGTTCGGTCCCCGCTCGTCTCTGTGCCGAGCGGTCTTGGGTTAGCGCTTGACTCTAGCCCACCTCCAAGTAAGTCCCGTATGCGCCGCTCGACATCGCAGGCTTTTTCGGAGGAGGTGAGTGCGAGGTGAGCAGTGCACATTACGTGGTACGTGCTCTTGTCCTCGGCTGCACGGCTCATGCCTCACGCTAGTCCTCCTTCTCCTCACCTCTCGCCCCCCTCAGGGCGAGTCAGTTAATTCTGGCCTCCTGACGGCGCTCCTCCGACAACTTCTGTTCTCTTCCTATTTTCTTCATCCCTCTCGTCGTCCTCCTCTTCCGCCCTCCCTCGGAGAAAGCACAAGGACATAAACAGACACTTCCCGAGGTCCGCGCGGAGTTCGTGAATCGCGCTGAACCCCCCTGGCGGCGTCTCCTGCGCCGCCCCTGGCACGTTCCGCGCGCTGGGATCAGGGGCCCAGCGGCAATCCAATAAGTCCGCGCGGACCTCTAAAACTTGATGCTCATGCCGAAGTTTGCTATTCCATCCCTCCTCCCCCCCTCCTTATGGGATGCCAGCCGCTTCAGTCCTGGAATTGAAGCCCTCGCCGCCCATGGTCGCCCAGGGCTCCCCGGGTCCCACCAATGACGGCGGTGAGATCGAGTTACGGCCGTCATTGGGCCACAAACGATTGCGATGGGGCTTGGGCCTCCTCCTGCTTCTTCTCCTCCTCCTCCTCCTCCAATGGTCCTCCCGCTGCTCCCGCTTCTTCTCCGCCAAGGCTTGTCCAAGCCTCTCCATCCTCCTTCTCCTCTAAGGTCCACCTCTTCCCCTCTTTCCTCCCTTCTGGGCGAGGCTCTCCTGGATGCGCCCTCGGCAGTGTGACTCTCTGCGTAAGTTTGCACGCCCTTTCGAAACTAACGGCACTGCTGCCGACCGCTACAAGACCCTCCCCCTGCAGCAAGCGAACCGAATGCTGCGGCAAGGGTGCTGCGCTCGTGCCCACTTTCTTTCTCCTGATCGATGATCAGGCTTTTCTTCCGAGGCTCCTTCGTGTTCCTCTCCAAGGCTTCTCGTTCCCCTCCCGCCCCAGCATCAGATGACGGCAAATTGAGACAACGGCGGTGTTCCCGCCCTGCCGTAGTATCCGCACAACATGTGTTCCCGAACCCCCTCCCAAGGCCCATCCTGATCCACTTTTCAAAAGAATCCACCGTCCCGACAAGAGCCCCCCGATGAGGCAAACATTACCCTGCGACGTACACAAGTGGCAAGAGGAGCTGGTCCAGAATAGTGTGGCTGATGACAGCAAAAGATCTGTCACTTGCTTTGCAAGCTTTATGGGGAGCGCTCTCGCTGCACGACTCACATGACAGCATCAGAAGGACGAGGATCGATACTCCGTGCTCGAAGACGAAATTGGGGGTGAGAACGAAAGGCGGGAAACATGATGGAAGAGGGGCCGAACTGCTAACGCGACAGCGGCAGTGAGCCGGTGGAAGGAGGAAGAGGACCTCAACGAAAGAGGCAGGATGAGGAGCGAGGGTGGCAATCGTTTCCAGGTGGCACGCTGGAAATGCCCCGCGGCCCGCGCCACGTCGCCCTGGCGCTCGATCAGCTGCTCACTGACAGCGCGAGGAGCCAGCGAGGCCGAGCTCGCCCGCCAGGCTCCCCGCTCCCCCCCTGCAGCTTGCAGCGCGCGGACCACACGCCCGCAGGCGCAGCGCCACGTCTTCGGGCGGCCCGCGGGAACAAGGAAGCCAAAGGCGCGCCGCCAAGTCTTTGGGCGGCCCGCGAGACATGAGGAAGAGCGGTTTTTCAGCTTGCGGAGAGACGTCGTTCCAGTGGACCCCCCCCCCGCAGCCTCCGAACATGGTGGCGGTTTCGCATCTCCCCCCCGCCAAGGATGGCAATGTCTAGCTTGGGTCCGCGGAAACATGTCATCCGGCTGGACCCGCAGCGCCCCCCGAAATTGGCGACAGCTTCGAAGTCCGAGGCACCCTAGGCATGGCGATGTCTAAGCTGGGTCTGCGGCGGTGCGTCATCCCGCTGGACCCCCCAGGCAGCCCTCGAAAATGGCGCGGTCGTTTCGCAGCTCGCAGCCCCTCAGGGACTGCGACGTGTAATATGAGTTCGCGGTGGGGCGTCATGCCGCTGGACCTCCCAGCAGCCTTTCTCTCACAGCGGTTGCACGTTCGCATTTCACAGCCCCCCCAAAGGGCGCGAGGTCTAATGAAGCTGAGTTTGCGGCGGGGCGTCAGTCCGCGCCCCCCCCCCCCCTCCCAGCATTGTTGTTGAACGTAGTGGCAGCTTCACAGTTCCCAGCCCCCCAGGGGTGGCGATGTCCAATCTAAGTTTGCGGTTCGGCGTCATGCCGTTGGACTCCCCAGCAGCCCCCGACACACGCGACAGCTTCGGAATTCGCAGCCCCCCAGGCATAGTGAGGTCGAATCTGCGTGCGCGGCGGGGCGTCATTCCGCTGGACCCCCCAGCAGGCGCCGACAGCGGCGACGGTTTCGGAGTTCGCAGCCCCCGCGGGGTGGCGAGATCTAGTCTCAGTCTGCGGCGGGGAGTCAGTCTGGTAGATCCCCAGCACCTTTTGTCTCTGCAGGAGGCGACAGCCTTGCAATTCGCAACCCTCCATGGATGACGAGGTCTAGTGTGAGTCCGTTGCGGGACGTCGCCCTGCTGGACCCCCCCAACAGGCTTCGAACGTGGCGGCAGTTTGGCAGGTCGCAGCCCCTGCGGGATGGCGAGCTTTAGTCTGGGTCTGCGGCGCTACGTCACCCCGCTGGATCCCTCAGCAGCTTTCGGAAGCGGCCACGGTTTCGCAGTCCGCAGCCCCCCAGAGCCTGCGGCGGGGCTTCACCCCGCTGGACCCCCAGCGGCCTTGTTCATGGCAGTGGCGGCGGTTTCGCAATCTGCAGCGCACGCGGGGTCGCGATGTCTAATCTGAGTCTGCGGCGGGGCGTCACCCCGCTGGGCCCCCCAACAGCTTTCGAAAGTGGCGACGGTTTGGCAGGGCGCAGCCCCCGCGGGATGGCGAGGTCTACAGTCTAAGTCCGCGGCGGGGCGTCAGTCCGCGAGATCCCCCACAGCACCCCTTCCAAAGTGGCGACAGCCTCGCAGTTCGCAGGCAGACTGGCTGGTTGGCTGGCAGGCAGGCAGGAGGTACGCGCCAAGTGAAAGGCTGGATGGAAAAGGGGGAGGGAAGAGATGAAGAGGAACATTGGATGAGAAGTACGAGTTCGTAACCACAACGCTCTACCCGAAACGAGAACCCAGCGCAAGGAGGTAGGAGAAGCACGAGAACCCAACGCAAAAAGGCTGGTACAATAAGGAGCGGAGGAAAGAGGAGAGGAGGAGGGAGGCAGAATGAAGGAGGACTGGAGACCAGAGTGCTCTTGTCAAAACGAGAACATAGCGCAGGAGGGCTTGAAATAACAGGGGATTTCAAAGGAGGGTCGCCGCTGTCCCGGGTGGCCCTCCTCCAAAACCCGGACATCGATGTCACGATACGATTACTGCCACTCCGCGGCCCTCTTCTGTTGCTGATGGCCCGAGGGGCCCGGAGACGGGCCCCGAGGGCCGAAGTCGGGGAAGAGCCACAGGCTGGAACCAACGCGCATCTCGTCGGCACTGGTTTTTGAAGTTCCACGAACTTGTTTTTTGGATTCCAGAAGCTTTTTTCTCATTTGTTTAACGTTTGCTTCTTGACAAAAAAACATCTCGTCGGCGCTCTGAGGATGTCTGCGTCGCCCTCCGACGTCGGTCGCTCGCCGTCGTAGCTGCGCGCCCCCTCCACGAGGCCTCGGGCCGCATGATCCGGGGCGCCCTGCGGCAGACGAGGACCCGCCCCGGCCTCCCGCGAGTGGCCCCGCGGGCCCGCGGGGACCTCGCACCTGCAGGGGGCCGACTACAATGAAGGCGAGCGTGTCCGTCCACAGGAGGAATATTAAAAGATAGCCAAAAAGTAGCATGGGGACGATGTTTGGTTAATCACGTTTACCTATTTTAGACTATTGTATGACAATTTGTTATGTTTCGGAATCCTCGACCTAAGACTACAACCCAGAGCTCCAACGTCTCGAGACACTCGAGGCGTAGGATTTTCGCAATTTTCGGCCTCCGGGGGCCCTCGCCGGGACCCAGGACCGTCAGAAACGACTCAGGATGAAGAGCTGGCCCCCGGGAAGAGGTCCCGACCTCAGGGGACCGCGCACTGAGAAGCCCACGACGTCGGAAGTCCGGGAAGGGGTGTGGCTGCGCCAGGGGTGGGCTTCGCGAGCATGCGCCGCTGGGGGCACCGCCTTGCGCCGAAGGCTTTTGAGGAGCCCTCGGCGGCGGGGGAGGAGGAGTAGGAGGAGGAGGAGGAGGCGGAGGAGGAGGAGGGGAGGAGAGGAGAGCGGAGGAGAGAGGAGGAGGAGGAGGAGGAGAGGAGGGAGGAGGAGAGGAGGAGGAGAGGAGGAGGAGGAGGAGGAGGAGGAGAGGAGGAGGGGGAGGGGGGGGGGAGGGGGAGGAGAAGGAGGAGGAGGAGGGGGACTCGCCCGAGGTCGTCGCCCGCCCCCTCTGGGCGCCGCGGGTGGCCAAGGCCGCACAGGGCGGAGTGGCCGGGAGAGAGGCCCTTTCCCTCTTGGGCCCAGGGGGAAGGGCCCCCGGGGGGAGAAGCGCCCCGGCGCTGCCAGAGGCGCGGGGCCGCAGGCCTCCTCCTCCTCCTCCTCCTCCTCCTCCTCCTCCTCCTCCTCCTCCCTCCCCCCTCCTCCTCCTTCTCCTCCTCCTCCTCCTCCCCTTCCTCCTCCTCGGGTCCGACGCCCTCGGGGAGGCCCGAAGGAGCAGCCCTCGGGGAGAAGCGCCCCGGCGCTGCCAGAGGCGCGGGGCCGCAGGCGCGCCTGGCGGCAGAGGCATGGTGGCGATGATGGCGATGATGGTGACGATGATGATGTTGATGGTGATGACGATGATGATAATGATGACGATGATGACGATGATGATGACGCCCTCGGGGAAGCCCGAAGGAGCAGCCCAGATCCTGTCCAGCGGGTTTGCCCCGAGCAGGGTTGGCCCGGCGGTCGTCTTTTTGCGCACCGTTTTGCCAGCCGGCGCGGGCCCTCGCACCCGCCCTCTCCCCCCCTCCCTCATGGAGGAGACCTTGGCTGTTCTTGGCGCCTGTTTCAAGCAGGTGGAGTCTCCCCCGTAGGACGCACGGCTGCCAACAGTCGCATTAATTACGCATTACGCAGAGGTCCGGAGCCATACCCCCCCCCCTTCCGCCCGATGTCGAAACGCCGAATGAGAAAACGCTCACCAGGGGGTCCAGCCGGGAGGGCTGGTCAGGGTTGGCGGCTGGGGTTGTCAGGGGGGTAGGCCAGGGTAGCTATTGGAGTTTCGACGTTCCGTAACATCTAGGTCCCAGACATCCGACGTCGTAATTTGCTCAATACGGGGAGCCCCCAGGAGTAATGTTCTTTCCTCGAGGGTGTTGTTTTTTACTGCGCTGGTCGTTCTCTGAAGGTCCTGGGCCGACAGCGGCCAAAGACCGCCCATCGTGATTTTTTCACGACGCGAGCATGTCTGGGTAGGCAGAAAAGCAGTCCCTAAGGCCTCGCTTGTTCGGTTCGTCTGGCGGACTTGTGGTGGGCATCCTCTGGCCATGCCACGGCCCCCCCCCCCAGACCTCTGGCCGGGATGTGCGGCTTGTAGGACGTAGCAGTTCGAAAAAGCAAGCTGCAGCCCCATTTTACAAAGATCCGCCCTCCTCCTGTGTAGCTCATGCATTTGTTTAGCGCGTTGTGGGAGCCAACTTCCAGAATGAGCCGCCCTGCGCCTTGTGCACGTCTGTGCATGTGCTTGCTTGGTTGAAACGTTTGAGTGGAACGAGCATGCGCGGCGCAAGTGCGGCAACCTGTGTTGCATCTGTGCTGTGTGAAGCCTTTGCGCGTACCTGCTTGAAACTTTCGAGTGGAACGAGCACACTGGGCGCCAATGCGGCAACATGTGTTACATCTGTGCTGTGGTAAGTAGGTGTCGACGTCAAGATCAGTGCAGACGTGCGCTGGCGGCCCCGAGGCGACATTCACATTATCAAACAGCCTCCCTCCAATGTGTAGCTGTCTGGCAATTTCAAGGCGAATCTCCATCTCCGCAGCTGTAAGCTTTATGTTCGTAAATTCTGTGGAGTGCGGAAAACTCAAGCGAAACGCCCAGTCTGCGATGTGAGTCGTGGTCGTCGTCGTCGTCGTCGTCTTCGTCGTTGTCGTCTTCGTCGTTGTCGTCGTCGTCGTCGCGCCCTGTCGCTGGCTGCTGGCAGCTGGCCCTCCCCCGCCCGCTGGCCGGCCTCTGGGGCTTCCCCGCGGAGGTGTGCGCGCCCGGGGCTGCCGATGCCCTCGGCCTGGGCTTCCAAGACCCTTGCACCCTTACCGCGCATCTTCACTACACGGGGTGACTGTATCCAGGCCCCCACCATGTCAGCTGCCCAGTGAGGCATGCACCCCTCGAGGCCCGAGGGAAACGGCCCGTATCTCCATCTACGGGTGTGCATCGGCCAGTGGGGCCGAGGCCACGTTCCTGGAAATGGGGGGTCGGTTAAGCGATGCTCAGTCCAGGGGCCATCCTTTGCTCCTCTCCCCGCAGCCACGACGCCGAAGCAAGGAGCAGCTCGGGCTCGGGAGGGGCTCGGGTCGCTGTCCGTCACGCCCTCCCGTGGTGGATCCTCCAGCGCCTCTCGTGCGCCAGGGCGCTTCTTGGGGCCCAAACAGGTGCGTTCGTTCCTCAGCTGGCGTGCCTCAAGATAACAGCCTGACCGCGTGCTCGTCTAATCCCGCACCACGCTTCGCCGCGACACGCTAATCGCGTCCTGGCCCCCGAACGCCAAGGTCCCGAGCCTTTCGAAGCCCCCCGCCCCGCGGAGCGGAGCGACACGTTCGCTATTTGCTTGTGCGTGTCGCCGGGGCCGCCGCCGCGACTCATCAAGTAAAAGCTCCTGGCCGTAACAGCTTGAGCGCACTGTCTGCCAGCACTGCTCCACCACTGCGCCACCAGATGCCACCAGACGCTCTGTTTGCTCGCTTGTGCGTGGCAGCAGACGCGCTGTGTATGCCAGCGAACTGTCCCACCAGATGCCCATGTTGTTGCACCTCCTCACAGGCTGGCGCTCCTGTGCCACGTTGCCTGGCCTCGCGCCTCACTGCGGCAAGGCCGATGTCCGCTGTCCGAACAGCCTGAACGCATGCCCGTCCAGCTCCCCCCCTCTCCGTCACCCGGTTCGCCCCCGCCCGCGCTGCGACACGTTCGCTGTCCACTCGCAGGACATAGCGTTTCGCCGGGGTCGCCGCCGCGACACGTTGAGCAGACATCCCTGGCCGTGACACGCTCGTCCAGAGACCCGCCCTCGCCGCTCCTCCTCCTCCTCCTCCTCCTCCTCCTCCTCCTCCTCCTCCTCCTCCTCCTCCATTCCTTCTCCTTATAGATAACATCTCCCTGTCGCACCCCGAGGCCAGTTCTTAGGGCGGGCCGGGCGCTTCGCCTGAGAATTCCACACCATGAATGATTCTGAAGCTTAACAAGTGACAACAGCTTCACAGATGGAGGGCGGGTGGTTTTCAAAATGTGGCTCTCGCTTCAGCGCCGCGTACATGTGTTTTAACAATTTGCAAGATTTCAAAGATTGAGGGCGGGTGGTTTTCAAAATGTGGCTCGCCGCGCACATTGGTTTTATCAATTTGCAAGAGCTTCAAGGATTGAGGGCGGGTGGTTTTCAAAATGTGGCTCTCGCCGTAGCGCCGCGCACATTCTTTTCTACAAAACAAGAATTTCATGGATTGAGGGCGGGTGGTTTTCAAAATGTGTGGTTTAGCGCCGCGCACATTCGTTTTCAGGTTTTGCAAGAGCTTCACGGATTGAGGGCGGTTCTTTTTCAAAACGTGGTTCTCGCCTTAGCGCCGCGCACGCTCGTTATAAAGATTTGTAGAAGTTTCACGGATTGAGGACGGTTCCTTTTCAATATGTGTTTCTCGCTTTAGCGCCGCGCGCATTCGTCTTCATAATTGCAAGAGTTTCACGGATTCCCATGATCAACGTTCCAGAAATGGTGTTTTCGAAGGATTCAGGCATATGCGGGCGCAGCAATTATGCTGATTCGCTGTGTTGAAGTCCCCCAACAATGGCGCTCTGGCACGATTCTGGATCGTGAAAACGCAGCAGTCAGGTTGATACGTGGCGTTGAAATCCCGAGAACAATTTTGTGGCACGCTTCAGAATCTTCAGTCTGTTGTCTTCCAACAAGGCAGTTCCCTCAATGGAAATGAGCCGTTGTAGGGCTCTACGAAGAGGGAGCTTGGAGGGAGGGTGAATTCCAGCATCGTTAATGGCTCTTGGGGTTCCACTGGTCCTCCTCCTCCTCCTCCTCTTTGTCCCCTTCCTTCTCCTCATCCTCCTCTTCCTCCTCCTCCTCCTCCTCCTCCTCCTCCTCTTTTTCCTCCTCCTCCTCCTCTTTTTCCTCCTCCTCCTCCTCCTCCGCCCCTCGCCCCCTTCCCCGAGGACGACCACGCCCAGGCCGCCAGCGGCGGGCGCGGGCGACCCCCGCGCCGACTGGGGCCCCAAGGAGCTCGGCGCCGCGGGCCGCCGTCGGCGCCCTCGGCGGCAGCGGCGACGGCGCCTGCGCCCCAAGACTGACGTCGGGCATATCCCTCCCTTCCTCCCTCCCTCCCTCCCTCCCCCGTCTCCTCCCTCCCTCCCTCCCTCCCTCCCTCCCTCCTCCTCTCTCTCCTCCTCCTCCTCTCTTCCTCCTCCTCCTCCTCCTCCTCCTCCTCCTCCTCCTCCTCCTCCC